CACACACACATACACATACGCATACACCCACATACTCATGCATACACACACACATATATATATACACACATAAACACACATACGCACACAAAACAAACAAACAAACCAAAAAAAAAAACTAACCAACACACAACACACACACACACACGCGCGCGCGCGCACAAACACACACACACACACACACACACACACGCGCACACACAACCACACCCGCGCAGACGCACACACACGCACACGCATACACTTAGGCATCCATCTCGCAGCCACTTAGCTGTTGTCGATCGAGCCAAGCTCGATGTATCGTGAAAGCTTAAAGCTTTCGATGTTCCGAAACCAACCAGGACTCAAGGCTCATCAATTCTGTTTTTGTTGGAGCTAAAGCTGTACAAGGCAACTATTCCAAGAAATTGACGTGTACATGAACTGCACTCGTCTTCTGACATGCAATCGCTGTTGTGGACACGGATCTTGACAACTGCATGTTACGACCCGACAACCTTGCAGCTAGACAGGGAAGCTTGACCCTCGTGCCACAAGGTGGCTAATCCGAATGCAGGTACACAATCTGGCGTCCCAGATCGCTTCACAACACTTCTGTCACCGTCTTCGTTGGGCAGTGAATGACAGAAGGCTCCCTGCCCCACTGCTGTTTGCTCACTCGAGCAACAATGACAAAAGGAAAACTTGTAGACTCTTAGCAACAGAGTTCCACCCACACACACACACACGCACGCGCACACACGCACACACACACACACACATGCACACACACACACACACACACACCACGCACACGCACACAAACACACACACACACACACAAACACAAGCTTGCAAGCAGAATCAGGTCTCACTCAGGAGGCTTGGCCCTCCCCCGTTGCAATCGTTTCCGTGGGAACCCCCTAACAGGATGGCCATCATTTTGCACCGAAGGCGTCACATTGGAAGACGACCCATGTGGCCCTTTGCTATCATTCTTGGGGGCTGCATTTCGCAATCATTTAGCCCCCTACCCCGCTGCAATCATTTCCTAGGAAGCAGTGCGTCAATGATCCGTGCTAGATGTTGCAAACTGCAGCAAAGTGGTGCCATGTTCTTTTTTGTCAGATTGCTGCTAAAGGTGCAGGTTGAGGAAACGAACACTGTGCAAGCGTTTTTTTTTGTTGAGGCCTGGCTTGGTCAGCAGCCTTCCCCTGGATTCATGCGAATCCACGCCTCACGAAGGTGCATCTGCAAAGCTGTGACGCTCTGTGCCGTGGACGTGGACACACACACGCACACACGCACACACGCACACAGAGATAAACATACATCTACACATACGCACATATCATACACATGTCTTTGCGCACCGGCCGACCGACCCACCCCCACTCCACCTCACCTCCCATCCGATGGACATGCTGACATACTCCACAACAGCTGCAATAAGGAACACCTCCAACCTGTCTTGAAAACTCGGAGTTCCTCATGCAGACGGCAGACTGGCAGACTCAGATCAGCCCCCTCGCGATCGCCACAGCATGATGGGAAACGTTTGCGTTTCTCTTGTGGGCTGAGGCGACTGCTGAAGCTGCATATACCAAGATGTAGTCACTCGGGGCAAACGTGGTTTCGGCCTTCAATTCAACCTCAGTTCGAAGGCATCAAGAGCTTCGGGCGTGCAATGGCGCGCAAGTCTGCTTCGAGCAAGACAAACGCATGCTGATACCATCTTTCCTGAAGTCATGCTGGTTTCTGGCATCTGAGATCGTGGCGAAGTGCCACCAAATTGCAGCGGCAACAAAGGTGTCCTTCTTCTGGCAAGGATGGCTCGAACTTCAGATGAGAAATTGCACACCTGTGTTTCGTGGAGTGAATATTCTCCAAAGCTCTAGCTGTATGAGTGAGCAGCAACACCGAAATCCCCCCAATGCCCACACAATTCAGGTGTCCTTGGAGGCAGTGTTGATGAACCAGTTACCGTCTGTGTCGGTTCCATAGCCTAGCGAGAAAAGGTCTGCCTACACCGGCTCCACCCTCGATGCCTATTGCAGCGACCCTAGCCAGGCTCTTGCGAAGCAAAGCGGCTGTAGATCAGCCGGCCGAAATACACCATGTAGTGGGTCACCAGAGACTCCTCGTACGGAATGTCCTGAGAGGCAGGCTGTGAAGAAACTATCTGGGGAAAGAGATGTTGGGATCTGTTGATCGTGAGAGCATCCTGCTTTTCTTCTCTTATGCCCGGCTGCGTCTCCCGTTTCGTGTCGTTTCGTAGCAGGTAAAAGATTGACATGCTGCCCTTAGGCCTTGTCCCCTCATGCATGAATGCCATGATGCCTCCGCGTCGGTCATGCCTACTCATCTTCCCTGCAGCAAAAACTGTGCACTGCACAGCTCGCTTTCCCAAGAGAGGGTTGAACTGACGAAACTCCTTCACACGCAGAACTTGAGAGTGGTCAGCGACCTAAGCTGACACTTGCTAATCATGCTCCCCATGTGTCTGAGGTCAACACCACAAGTAGCCACATCTGTTTTGCTGTTGTCGATATTGATATTGTTGATCCCGGTGTGGTGATGAGCTCTCTATTGCTCTATTACACCCGACAAACTTTTGAAGATGTTACGCACACAAAACAAAGCAGCTACTCTTCCTAGATTGCAACTCGAACCTGCTTGGATTCGCGGGTCTCGTGTGTTGACAAGGCTCCCAGGTTATCGAGCCTCCGAGTTGTTGAAAATCCAAGTCAAGATCTTCCAACTGAACGTTGGTGACCTGACAACAGTACGGGTAGCGCGTGGTGTCTGGGTGACCCTTCGTCCTTGTCCGACGTCCTGGAACTACCCTTTTGCTCCTCACTGAGCCTACCGGCCTACTCCCGCCCCGACAGGACGAACCTGGAAGTTGGTGTCACTGACATTCTTCCACGTCGGGGTCGTCTGCTCGGAGAGTGTGGAGACAGAATGCACCAACACCTCGCTCGGGACCCAAAGCCAAGGTTTCGGGGCAGCCGCATGTCAGGTCTTGACCCCGGCATGATGTTTGAAAGCGGTCAATATCAGCAGGACGGGATGGGCCACAAGCTGTCAGAATAGAGAAGCGACAGTAGCAGATCTATACTTAACAAAAAGCATTCCCTCTTTATCCCCGGGCTTGGCGTAAAGAACAACCTTTGCTTCTGAGGAACCACTGTGGGCTGCGCCGCTTGTAAGGCAATCGGCCGGACATTGGTACTCTGATCGCCTGAGTTGCTCCGCTCGATCGGCCGCTAGGCCCTAGGCTAAGTTCAGGTACTTGGATGCACAGCACGATAGGAATCCGAAAGCGCGCGTTATCCTGGGACAGATTTTCACCTGGAGCTTGGGCACAGTACGGCAAGATCGTCTCGGCCGGAACGTCTCCGAAGTTCGTACCCACAGGCGACTGAGGAGCTGCCAGGATCCTCAGTCGCTTTGCAATGCTTTGCACTGTGTGGCCTCCAACTCTCATTTTTGCTGCTCAGCCCCGCACCTGTCGAGTCCACGATCGTTCATGGCGATGTAGACGTGATAGTGTGCGACGGCTTCCTGCGTCGTCGTCATCATCGTCATCATCATCATCATCATCAGCATCATCATCATCATCATCATGATCATGACCGCCGCGTGAGTAGACGACAAGAGCGCAAGGGGGGGAAGGGTAGCAACTTTTTCGACTTCGGCAGACCAGCTAGTTCTGGCCGAGGGGGAGTAGATAAGCCCGCGCCTCGTACAGATCGGGCGGGTTCCATGACACCGTGCCTCAGCAAGCACAAGACGGTCCAGGACCGAGTCGTCGCCGACGCTAACTCCGGAAATCTTGTTAGCTTCTTGGAAAATCATTTGCCAGGTGCCTCCCACTTCATGCAGATCCAGGTCTTCATCTGGGAAAGTGATATTGGACACGCTTGCGTTGGCGTCGGCGATCTCAAAGGAAGCCGGCGTCCTGGTTCGTTTATTCGGAATAGTACGTGGCCGTTTTCCATCAGCCGAAAAACGTCCGGCATTCAAGTCTTCGGGGGAGCCTATGGGTTGGAGCCTCATGGCCAACCAGCTTCTTGTTCTGAGACCTGCCTGAAATGTCGACGGTTATGATTGCTTGCGGTTCCCGAGTTTAGAGCTTCCGGCAATGCAACGACATGCTTCCGGCTGTGGGCTTTCTACCGGGAGTAGTTTGACATGATGTTTCTGCAGCCCATTCACTGCCATCAAACGGTTCCAGGCAGTGGGGTCGCTGCAACATGAGTCAATCGGGAGATGCTGCCCTCACGAGCTTCGGCACCAGCGGGCCATATCCCTGACCCAAACAACAAAAGCCCTTCCGTCCTCATCTCGACGGACGACGACAAGGAGTAGACCAGAATGTGAGTCATCCGCACCTGGCAAAGCCGTGGACCACAATTCGCAGCGTTTCGCGTCCCGCGCCAAAAGTAGCGTGGGATGTCGGGAGAGCAATGCTGCGCAAGGCTGAACAGTTACGGGTCCACGGCAGTGTTGCGAGCTCCACCCTCGGTCGAGTCCGGTTGGGTGGGTTGGGTTCGTCACCAAGCAGCTAATTAGCGTGTGGTGCTACGGTTTTTCATGTGGGAATAGATACAGCTATCGCGGCTCAGTGGCAAACTGTCCTGTTGGAGACCAGTTTATCACTTAAGCATGACCTGCGCTTTGCGAGCGTGAAACGGAAAACGCCTCATCCCTAAACCTACAAACCAGCAAGCCTCGAAATGCAAGGCTTTGGATCCGTAACGCCCGTCCCGAAAGTGTTTAGAGCAGCGAGGCAACACGAACATCTCATCCATCCATCCATCCATCCATCCATCCCTCCCTCCCTCCCTCCGTCCATCCCCATTCGTTGATTCATCCATCTATCCCACCATCCAAACATTCATGCATCCGTCCATCCATCCATCCCTTCATCCTTCCATACATCCTTCCATCCATCCTTCCGTCTATCGCACCACTCATCCATCCATGAACCCGTCCATCCATCCATCGATCCGTCCGTCCATCCGTCCATCCGTCCATCCGTCCGTGCATCCGTCCAACTACCAATCCCTTCAATAATCCCTGCTGTCCCCTTCTAGAAACCCTTTTTGCCCCGCTTTTGAGCCCTACTGTAAAGACGTGTATAGACCCTTTAAAGTCCTGCCATGAATCCTTCTATAAATCCATTTCTTTAAACCATTCGAAACCTTTCTTGCTTCAAGCCCTTCTATACACTCTCGACCAAAATGCTTCAATCCATGTACTGGTGCAACGCGGCCAGAAAGTTTCCCCCACATATTTTTGATTCAGAAACATCATCAAAGGGATTCAAAGGCACGATCAACACGGTACTGGCGGGATCCAGGAGTTCAATGGGTCCCGCTTGCCGAAAAACTATGCTTCTCCCGAAGTACTGGCGGGATTCATGAGCACGGCCAAGACGATTCACCCATGTACTGGCACGATTCAACAGCATGACCACCATCGCTTCCCCTGCTGTACTAGCAGGATTCATGGCATTCAGGAGTACGAAAAGCTTCGGATCCCCCAGATGAGACAATCAGAGTCTTCCGGATGCACAGCGCCATCGGACGGACATGCCACTTAGCGGGAGAGGGTTGCCACATCCGAGGACAAATCGCCACGGAACCACACGCGAAGCGCCAAAATACCATGGGTGGCTCCACCCGCCTGCCCTGCCCCAAACAGTAACAAAGACACCGAATTAGAGCCAGCCAGCTAACCAATCTCACGAAAACCCACCGGTCGCCAACCTCACAGCAACCTAAGTGATAACCTCGTCCAAACCACACCCTCATCTGAACCACCTCCACAAACAAACCTTCGCCGCGCTGTCGCGAATAGCAGAAGCTCCCTCAACCTTATCCTTTCATCCCCAGTGCTCCCAAGTCCCATTCTCGAAGCGAGCCCTGGGAGTCCGGAGGAACCAGCTCTGGCCCGAGGTCGACCCAGAGGCTCATATTTCCTGTGCAGAGCTTTGAAGACGCTGTGTTGGTGCTCCACAAAAAAGCTGGATTTGTTGCGCCTGCTATTGCCCAGGCCCTTTATCCTTGCGTAGCAGTTGGTTCTGTATGAATTGCAACCGAAATGAAAGCGCAAAAGGTGCACAAAGATATGCATGGGGCAGGCACCTCACCATGCATAGCCCGCTCTGCCAAGCAAACAAATTCTCACGCGACCCAGATGATCAACCACATTACAGCCTGGCCCAAGCGCTAACCCAGTCTCTCTGCAAGAGGACAAACAGGTTCCGGAGGCGGTGGTGGTGGTGGTCGTGGTGGTGGTCTTCATAGTGGTGGTGGCAGTCACGGTGGTGGCGGTCGCGGCGGTGGCAGTGGCGATGGCGGTCTGGCGGTGGCAGAGGTGGCGGTCGAGGTGGCGGTCGCGGCGGTGGTAGCGGTAGTGGCGCGACTTGCTGCTGATGACGATGACGATGACGATGACGATGAGCATGACGAGGATGATGATGAGGATGATGATGATAAGGATCATGATGATGATGGATGATGATGACGATGACGGTGGTGGTGCCGGTGGTGGTGGTGATGATGATGATGATGATGCTGATGATGACGGTGATGATACGACGATGATGGCGATGACGACGATGATGATGATGATGATGATGCTGATGATGCTGATGACGACGATGATGATGATGGTGGTGATGGTGATGATGAAACTGATGGTGGTGATGATGCTGATGAACATGATGATGATGGTGATGATGATGGTGATGATGATAATGGTGATGACGAAAATGAAGGTGACGATGATGATGATGTTGATGATGATGATGATGATGTTGTTGTTGATGATGATGATGATGATGACAACGACGATGATGATGATGTTGATGATGAGGACGACCACGACGACGGCTGTCGCGCAAAGCGCGGGTAAGAAAGCGCGAGTCGGGCTCTGAGATTGAAGCGTGGCTTTCTTAAATTGGAGGTGTATCCAGGGCTTGGGCTGTGCAAGCCCATGCTGAATTTCTTCACCAACCTTCGGACCTTCACGGGGCCAACAAAGCTCCCAAGCCTCCCCGTTCGGGTACGTAATATCACATTATGTCCTTTCTTCGAACCGTTCGGATAGCCAACATGATGTGTTTGCTCATTGTTGTCTTCGTTGAAGTTCTTATTCAGAAAGCATGAGAGGGCGGAGGTGTTCCTCCGATACTTCGTATGTCAAACTTGCTGGCGCACACGGAGCATGCCCTGCACTGACTCTGAATAGTTCCCAAACTCCAAGGCATTGAGCCTCAACATGCAAGCTCCCTCAGACTCGGAGTCGCAGTCCTGTCTGCGTGGTTGTCCTTGTGACCGTGGTCCCATCATACTCCTGGGAGCGAAGCGCATCTGCAAGTCTTAGGTCGGATCTTCTTCCCGGGCCCTTTCCCCGTTGCAGTTGCGGCGTGTGGGTGGGCAAAAACTGACGTCGATCGAAGGCCCTGGTGAATGTAATGTCTTCCACACCCCACAGACTTTCGGGCTCCTCAACGAAAACCGAAACCCGAAATGTCGTAGTGAAACTGTTGCTAAGCGGCGGTGGCATTCAGACCCAGATAATAGTTGGGCCGGATGGCAAGGCTCTCCTGAGTCGCATGAGGCATTTTAAATTGCATAAACGACGGCTCTCATGAAGTGACGAGACATCTGCACGACGCGCAGTGCTTTTGGCTGCTTACGCTACGCCTCACTATCCCCAAAGCCAAGTCTTTTCGAACAATCTGGCTCCGCTTGCCGACCGTTCTCATGCAAAAGCTCACAGTACAACGTTTGATACCTGCACATTCGTGTGGCACAGCCCCGACAAACAGCCCTGCAAAGATCCGCGAGGCTATGAGACGATGGTGTTTAGCGATCAAACTCAAATCGAGCTAACATCTGAAGCCGCAAACCCTACAGGCCATACATCCTACGTCTCAGGCCCACATCTCTACAACAGTCCAAGATCGGTGGTCGGAGACAGCTCGCCTAGCAAGTAGCGGTCATCGCCATCCTCCTTGGTAGTGAGAGGCTTGAGGGATTCAGGATGCTTCCCGACCTACTTGTAGGATACCTGATAGATTGCATAAACGCGATGACATCAACCACAGTATATGCATGAAAAAGGAGGATGACGGAGGCACGCTTTCATCAAAAGTGCGCCTACCAGTCTGGGTGGCCACACCCACTCCAACACTATCAACCGACGAATCGACGACGACTGCGTGGACCACGACTGGGACGACGATGACACCAGACGGCACAAACGACTGCACTAAAAACTCATCGTCATCGTCATCGTCGTCGTCATCGTCATCATCATCAGCAGCAGCATCATGTTGCTGACATTTTCCTCTGCTTCAGGGCCTCACGAGGCGGGAGGAACGGTTGATGATCACGCTTTTACGGTTACCGGGAGCCAATCGAGCTGTGTCGAAAGACGCCGGTGCAGTGCATCGCCCTGGACGGACGCCGCCCGGGCCAGCGTCTGCGGCGGGAGGGAGGATGCAAAATTACAGTCACCGATTGTATCAGTGAAAGCAACCTACAGCAAGATCAATCACTTTCCCCAGTCACACACACACACACACACACTCGAGCATTCCTTTGTGCAACCAAG